TTCTTATATTTATTCTCATTATGGGGAAATAGATGTAGAGTTAAAATGCTAAGTGCTTCTGCATTTGTCATAAGTGTGAAGAATGGTATAAATAAGGGATAATAGTTAATTTGATGGGGAGAATCTCAAAATATTGGCAGCATTAAGTATCCCAGATATGTGCTTGAGGGTAGAGAAAAAAAAGTATTTGAAAAAATGGGGATTAGCTCATTATTCCTGGTGGTGTATCCTCCTATATAAGAATGAAGGATAGCTGTTCAGAAAAGAACTAGCCAGTAATAATGTAATAATGTTTACTTTGTAGCAACAAGGTATTTCTAACAATGTCCTAAGTGTATTACATTTGAACAACACTGGGTTAGTAGGTCAGTCATGTTATGTAGCAAATGGTTTAAACCTTAAAAAAATATTTACATGGCTTAAGTATAGCTTAACAAATACTGACTTACCACTGTTTCCTTCTTTTACTTTCTACTACTTCCTCTTTTCCTTATCAGAGTAGTGTTGAAAGTCAAATGATATTTTACCTATTTCTTTCTTGGCTTGCTTTTTAAAATTTCCTGTCAACAGTTTACAAGATATTGTATTTGTGTATAATCTTATACACATCTCTGAATCGAGGAGTATGCTTATGTTTTTTAAATTGGAGGGGGAAATAATTCCAAGGTTTATCCAGACACTGGAGCTATGGAACTGGGGATAGCCATCTGTATAACTTCCTTTCCATAGCCCTTTCAAATGTTCAGTTCTGTTATCTTCTTTCCAGTCACTTTTGCTGCCTTTGAACTCCAAGGTATATTCTCATTGGCACATTTTTCTATATCTCATCTCCTTTCCTATCATATGTTCTTCTCACTTTCAACCTTACTTGTGATTTCTCAGTTCTACCATATTCCTAATATGTCCTTTTCTTTTCACCCCTACTCTAAATTCTCATAGTCTTTTCCCTGAATTAGTGAAATATTCTTATTAACTGTTCTCTGTGTCCTATTCCAATTGTTATATAGCTGCTAAAATGATCTTTCTAAATGTACAGATGAAAATAAGGGGAATATTTTCATTTTTAAAGTGAGTCTATATTATTTGGAAGTTTTAAAACATGGAGTAGTTTGTTATTCAGAAGTGCATACATCATTATATTACTTCACTGTTTAAAATCCTCCAGCAGGGCTGAGGCTATAGCTCAACGGTAGATTGCTTACTTAGCATGTTTGTGACCCTGAGTACCATCCCCAGCACCACCACCAAAAAAAAAAAATCCCCCAAGAACTTCCACTGATTGCATGATAAAACTCATTTTTTTAAAATATAATATACCGGCTCTGCTACTTCATCACTTGACCAACTTGAGATAAGTTTTTTTTTTTTTTTAAAGATAATGTCCCTGTTAGGGTTATCAAAGATGCTTAGTTCCAGATAATAATAAATAGCTACCATCAAAGCATCCACAGCATTCCAAGTGCTTTACATGTTATTTCATTTTATATCACCATCTCAATTTTACAGATAAACTGATCAAAGAGGTTATGTAGCTTATTTAAGGTCACAGAAGTGTTATCACGATTTGAACCCAGTTCTGCCTCACTCTAAAATGTGTGGTCTTTCCCATATACAAGTTTTGTGTCCCTTATCCCAAATACTTGGAACCAGAAGTGTTTCAGATTTCAAAGTTTTTCAGACTTTGGAATACTTGCATGGACTATTTAAGTATTCCCAGTCTGAAAATCCAAAACTCCTAGATTTTTGGAGTGCTGACATGAAGCTCAGAAAGTTTGACTATGAAACATTTCAGATATTGGATTTTCAATTTAGGGATGCTCAACATGTACCACACTATATCTATATTGACATGTTCTAAACATTTTGGCTCAGTCTTTTAGAGAAACATTTATTTCTATTTTAAAGTACATTAGGAGGCAGTTTGGTATAATAGTTCAGACCACAAGGTCTGGAGACAAACTGTCTGTGTTCCAATTCCATCCCTAAAACTTATTAGCTGTAGTATGGTCTTGAATAAGTTAATTTTCCTGAGTCTCAGATTTTCCACCTATGAAACAAGCATGGTAACAATAGCTCCTCTCAAAGAACTTTTAATTTGATGATCCATAAAAAACATGTAACAGTGTATGGAACTACTTACCAGATAATATACATACCTTGTCACTATAATGCTGATAATGCTCAAGATTCCAAGTGCTTTACATGTTATTTCATTTTATATCCTTTTTCATTTTATAGTCTTTTTTGTTCACCCAGAGTACCTAATTAGTACATCTGAATCCTGCTTTGCCATATCCTGTCTCTTCTGTGTAGCATATTGTATAGGTTTTGCCTTTTTAGGAGTGACATTTGCAATATATATAGCTTTAGATGTACAATTTTCATAAAATAAATGGCCAATGGCTCAAATGCTACTTACTCAATGATATTAAGGAACATAATAGTTTGTCAAATTGCTGTAGATTTTCTTATATAAGCATTAAAGAACAATTTGATTCTTTTATTGCAGGGTTTATCTATATGATTCTGTGTGTAGTGGTCAATTCCACCTTGCTTATCTTCATAGTGAGACTTTACTACGGTCAGAGTAACCTCCCAGTGAATATTCTTATCTACACTTCTCTTGGTTCACTTTCTTTGTTAGGTGTCAAAGGTTCAAGCACTACCTTGATGCCAACTGTTCTTACAGAAGCCAATCACAAACTCTGCACTGAACTGGATATTCTTGATTTGTTTTATGACCTATGTAGACATTCAAATAAACTACATAGGGCTGTGGATGTGGCTCAATGGTAGAGCACTTGCCTAGCATACATGAGGCCTTGGGTTTGATCCCCAGCACCACACACACAAAAAAATTAACTGTTTGAAAACTGCTTTGGTTATTTCCAATAGCTCTGTATCAAGTCCCAAGTTGTCCCTTCCTTGCTGTTACCATGGCCTGCTTGTCATCCTGGTCAAGAGCAGCATGCAGCCTCAATTTTAATACCATCTGTGGTTTCCTGATCATGGTTCTTGGCCTTTTTTTCTCCATGCCTTTCAAATTATCCCTTTTAGTCCACACGTGTTGCCTTTTGACTTGTATTAGTTTTTTTTTTTTTTTTTTTTTTTTTTTTTGTTATAATGAAATACCTGAGGCAATCTAACTTTATACCGAAAAAAGATTTAGGTCACAGATTCGGAAGCTGAGAGCCCAAACTGTACAGTGCTGGCTCTGGCAAGGGTTCCCCTTAACTCTGTGACCTCATGGCAGATGACACTGGTGGTACCATGGGTGGTAGAAAGAGATCACAACACCAAATAGGAAGCCAAAGAAAAATTCATGGGTCAGGTTTGCTCTTAAAACAACTCACTTTGTGAGAGCTCAGGGGTTCCACAAAAGCTACCTTGATCCCTTCCAAGGTCAGCTCCCACCACAATAACCTAAGGACTTTCCACTAGGCCCCACCACCTCCCATAATCACCACAGTGGGGACCAAGTTTTCAACACAACGAACCCTTGGGAGCACATTCAAACCATATCCAAAACATAACACTTGAGATCATTGAATCTGAACAATAACTTAAATGTATCTTGTGATTCTGAATTCAGATATAGGATGCCAGATACCTTTCTTTACAGAATATGCCAACAAAAATAACGCTAAGCTAGGGATGTAGTTCAGTGGTGGGGCACTTGGCTAGCATATGTGAGGCTCTGGGCTTGATTCTCAGCACTGAAATAAATTAGATAAATAAAGAAGGCTGAAGGAGACTATGAAGTTTTAAGACAAGTATGCTATTGGGTGATCTTTGGAATTAAACTCCCTAAGCTAAGATTTTTACAGCATTAATATGAGAGAAAATTGATTTTTAAAATGAAAGGAACATTGCTTTTCACTGTTCCGTGTAAAAGCTATTTTACATGGGGTTTATTGAGTTGTTACATTTTATAGAATTCAAACTCCTTATAGAGATTTGTTATCAATAATAAATATGAAGTTCTTGCCTGATTTCCTTGAATCTGTTATCCTTAATGTTCATGGATTTTAGAAATAGACAAGTTCCAGTTTTTACAGTATGTTTGATACATCCCTAGAGGCTTGAATACAGTACATTAGGCACTACTAGGGGCACAGGTAGATGAGGAGACAAAAGCAAGCAGGCTTCCAGATAGATACCCTCCTACCAGTCAGCTTGGCTTTTCAATTTTCTATATTAGGATTCTAAGTAAGATTTTGTTTCAGAATTAAGTGTTAAATTTTCTACCTTGAATATGTGAAATGAAAGCTTTGAATATCAGAGCTAACAATACCATCTTTCTATCAAGATTCTGAAAATGAGTTTCTTAGATTCACAAAACAAACAAAAACCCAAGTTGTTGTTTTCATATATTAATGTCCTTGAGGACAGGAGGCAAATGTTATACCTTTTCTTCCTCATTGTCTTGTGCCTAGTAATGAACACAAACTTAGTGCTCACATATGTTGCATGAATCAAACAAAACTTCTTTTGCATTATATTAGCTGAGCAAGCAATAATAATGTAAACACATTTTAAGTTTGTGTATACATGTAATTAGAATACTTTAATACTAAATGAAGAATAAAAAATAATAATAAAATAAATAATATATTAATAAGGAAGAATAAGGAAAAGACTAAAGAACCCCCTATATCACTTGAGGTTTTATATGAACACATTAGAATTGCAGGGGAAAAAAATTGACATGGCATACAGATACAAAGTATATGTCAGAGACCTATTCTAAATGCCTGATTTCTCCTGCACTTTGAAATGTCATTATTCTTATTAATACTACTTCACAATGTCCATGCTCTCCAAACAGTAGCCAGACCATCTTAAAAATTTAAATTATACATCACTCATCTGCTAAAATCCCTCAAATGGCTATCTTGCCTAGTAAAGCCCAAAGTACTTACAATGACCTCCAAGGCCCTACATGATCAATACATACTACTCATCCAGTCCCAAACCATCTCATTATTTTTTCTCCAAACTTTTTACCTTTCTCCTTACTTTAGTCCTATTGACCTTTTGATTGTTCTTGTAAATGGCCTCATGCCATACAGCTCTGACCTTTGGGCCTGTGGACTTTCAGATACCCACAATGCTTGGTCTCTTAGTTCTTTCAGGACTCTCCTGAAATGCCACCTTTCCAAGGAGACCTCTGACCATTTTCCATAAAATAATGATGCCCTTCAAACATTCTCTGACACCCTTAGTGTTTTCTTTTCTCCATGGTGCTCATTACATTTACATTCATGCATGTATTCTGTCTTCCATAGCTCTTCAAGTATATGGACTGTTTTGTGCACTGCTGAATCCTGTCACTGAAAGCAGTGACTGGCATGGAGGAAGCACTTAAAAGTTTGTTGAATCGTGTTTCCATCTTGATTTGTAAAAAAAAAATTCCTTATAATATCTGTATGGGAAAAGCTAAATAGGGACCCGAAGCTTCTGGAAATGTGTATCTGCCCATGGATTTACCTTAGAGGCTCCTAGCAAGTAGTTCCACTTTAGGTCTATACTCCAGCCTACTAGGATATGAAACAAAAGGTGAATCCAGTCAATATTAGCTCTTCTCTTGTACTTAGGAACCTAATTGACAGCACAGAATCCCTTCCTCTCATTTCATCTCAAGGCTCTCTTTTCTGACAAAAAGTTCAAGGGCCTCTAGAATATACACTGACTACATTTCAGGCTTGGAATGAGCCCACACTAAATTTCTATGAGTTACAGATAAAAACCAGAATAGAAAGCCTCTTAATCACAGAGTAGAAGCTTTTATTTCAATGATCAAAAGAATGCAGTCAATTGAACCTATAATGATTAACATCAGGCATGCACCTTTACCTGAAACTGCTGTTAGTTTTTGACTAGCCTAAATCTTTATAATTTTTTTAGGCAAAATTTTTTTACCCTGATATACAGGGTAACTTAACCTCTTTCTATGCTATCTAGTAATGAGAATTATGTTCACTGGTTAGATTCCTTTATAATTAAAGGTCTTTAGATCCTCAGATTGCCTGGTCTACCTTGAGACCATACTTTAGATATATTTAAATAATCATAGGGAAGGGAGACAACCTAGAAAGCTGAAGTGTAACTGAATAAACAGTCCATAGGGTTTTTTTTTCCAGCACTGATAGTCAAATATTAGATAAGAAGACCCAGAGTTAAGTGCCAAATTATTATTCTCCCACTACTGCCTTTATGAAATATCTCCCCCAAAATGTGAAATGAAGTCACACAAATAAGAGATTTTACCTGTGTGGTCCCACCATCAAATTATAGAAAGCAGTTCCACTATCAAAATCATAGGAAGCAGTTAAGGGGACCTTGAGAAAAGCACAGTCCCACATACAGTAATATGCATATAATAATTTTCCATCTGTCAATTATTTTCACAAGATTAGCATTAAAAAACACAACCAAGTACATATATGACCCTCAAACCCCACACCAGAAAATTGGTCTTTGTTCATTATCAGATGACAAGATGTCCAAGTGGGACAAAAGGTGGGAGCCAGTCAATTCCCCATAGCCATTTCTTCAACCATCCCTTCAACAGCTGTTCCTTTTCTTGAACTACCTTCTTTTTCCAAAAAGGTAATGCTGAGATCAGTCAGAAAGGCTTTCTGAGAAGACTGGCTTGGATTTCTGGGTCTGTTCCAGTCGATTCAAGATGAATTGGCTTGTATCAATGAATCGCTCAACGCAGTTCACAAAACAGGCCTCAGCCCGACTGTCCAACTTTGGCCCAGGCTTGTCCATGCACTTCTCCTGCTCAGGATAAGACAGAGAATCACAAAGGGAACTTTCAGGAAAAAAAAGAGGGGTAGGGGTAACTTCACTGCTTAGAGGAAAAACTTCACCTAAAAACAATATCTAATATGTTAATATTTCTAATTTGGCAATTTACATTCTACAGACTTACATTAAATTCTCACAACAACCCTATGGAATAGATACTATTTTAAACTTCCTTTTACAAAGAGAGAAACTGCAGTACAGAAATCCTTTACCCTTTACCCAAAATTAAAGGGCCAGAAAATGGTGGAGCTGAGATATCACAGGGCAAGAAAATTAACAAAATATGAATGAAGTAATATTTTGCTGAATTTGCTTGTAACTAATACTATCTGCATTGAATGCTATTAAATTAATTGGAGAATAAAGGATTAAAGGATGAATCATTATAGTAAGGTACCCTAACACCTGTCAAAAGAAAATTTAGGAACTGAGAATGTATAACCCTGTCTACTTAAGCCAGAGGTTCTTGAATCCTGTCACAAGGAATGAAAAATTATAAATCTTCTTGAAAGGTCCATAGCTTACAGATTCTTAAAGGAGTCTTTAACCACACCCACTCCTGGCCCAAATGTAATGAATCATTTTTTAAAGAAAGAATCAAAGTACTCTGGTCCAAGGCAGACCAGAATAAGTTAAGCATTTGATAAGGATCATAGTCCAGCACTACCTTAAGTTTATGGGAAAGGAACTGTAGAAACTGATGATTGTATATAATTCAAAGGGATTCAAGTGAATGTTATTCACGATTCTCTTCTACATACACAAGCCTTATACCCTCCAATTTCAATAAATATTATCCTTGGCCTCTAAATCCTGTGAGTTTGTATGTCGAGGGAGGGCAGTATGCTGTCCTTGGCAACCAGAACACTTTGATCTCAAGCTGCAAATGCCTTCCACCCTTTTGCCAAAGTCCCCTCACAGGGCAGACCAAATTCCTCAACCTTCAGACCCGAAACGGCTTGGTATTACACAACAACCCAAAAAGAAGGCAAATAAATGTGTATGTTGGAAGAGATTACGCCACTTTTATAGTCAGCGGGCTAGAGACACACATTTTTTACCAGGAAGGGTTTGAACAACTGGGTAATCAAGGCAAATCCCAAGGAATACAAGAATATCAGATTCATGGACTCCCCAGGATTCAGGCTCCCCAAAATAAAATCCCTGTACTGGAGGCTCTGCCCGGTTTTGGTGATCAGTACTAGGTAGCTGCAACCTCAAGTGCATCAAAGTATTGGGTGGGATACCAGAGTAAGTCTGTGATCCCCAGTCCACTGCACCAACAAAGCCAAGGTCCACGGAGTGCCTGTCCACTGAGAAGTGGAGTCACCCTTCTCTCTTCCGGCTCTGCGGGGTAGCGCTACCGGGTCTACCCTCTCCTTGACTAAGTAGCGAGTCCCATGGGACAAGGGCAGAGGGAAAGTGGGTGCAGTGTCCATATCCCAGCCCCAGGATCCTCACCCAACACAGTTCAGTCATCTGGTGCACCAGCTGCTGAAAGCGCTGCTTCTGAGTTTCCACCTCGATGAAATGCTGCAACTGTGGGTCCACTGCG